CCATCCACCTATCCATCCATCCATCCACCCGTCCATCCACCCATTCATCCACCCATCCATCTATTCATCCACCCATCCATCCATCCATCCACCCATCCATCCACCCATCCATCCATCCATCCATCCATCCATCCACCCATTCGTCCATTTATTCAAAAACTACTTTCTGAGGACATATGATAGTCTTAAAATTAGGGATGAAGAAAAACACAAAACGACAGAACAATGTAGCACATGTCTTCATAGAGAATAAAAGGCCCAAGAAGGATCTAACACTCCCTGGGGGCATTGACGAAGTGCTCAGAGGTGGCAGCATCTTGAGGCTGCTTACAACTTTGACAGGTGGAGAAGGGCCCCAAAGAAGAGCACTCCATGCAGAACAGGGTGGCAAAGGCACTCAAAGGGATATGATGGGATGTAGACTATTACGGTCTCGAGTGACTGCATCCTGGTTTGTGTGATGGGGAGCAGAGAGACACAAACCTCAAGCAAATAAGTGCATCTATGGGAAAGGCCTTGAACGCCAGCCTAGGAGTTTGGACTTTATTTGTAAGAGAAACCCAATCACATCTTTTAGTTTTCAGAGTCATCGTTTTGAGAGTAACACTGGCCTACACTGTGTTTAATTGTCCCCTCCCACCTTTGAAAGGGGTCGGAACCATGAGCTGCCACCCCCTCTGTCCCTGCCCTGGGCTGTGTCATGCCTTCCTGGAGCCCCGCTCTCCCCGTCAGACATCCCTGGGCTTGGTATCCTTCTCCCTGGCATCTCAGCCAGGGGATCAATTCATCTCTTTCGGGCACTGAATCCAGCACTTGTACAGCGATTGCAGTGTTTTTAGCTGAGTTCTCCAATTTTGGAGATAATTCGTGCAAGTCGCAATTTTGACATTTGCAAGTGTTTACAGTAGACCTGGTTGTTGAAATGGGCTTTTGTAGTAAGTGCACAATTTGGAATCAGGCCTGATTTGCATTTTCTGCCAATTATCTGTGCTACCATGAGCCACGTGATAAAGGTAGAAGCAAGTGGGATAAAATGGTGAAACCAGGAGGGCCACCCACCCACTCTTTTGTTTCGCTTGATTCCTGCCAAAATGTTGGCTTAAAAGAAAAGTACATTTTAAATAACAATAATATTAACAGTGCATATAATGCTTCCATGTGCCTCGCCAGGCTCTAAGCACTTAATATATAGTCAATAATTGAATCCTCACTACCACTCCAAGGGGTCGGTAATTTGACTATCCCTAATTTCCAGAGGAGGAAACTAAGGTGCAGAGTCAAGTAATATGCTCAGACTCACTCAGCTAATAAACGAGTGAACCAGTCTTCAGATCCAGGTGTTCTGGTGATGTTTTGTCACACCGATTTGCAGATGCTCCAGTTCAAATTCCATCTTCCAAAACGTGGGTGTCTCCAGCAAACACATGTACCTGGGGCGCTGGCCCTTTCCTCAGTGCTTGCACCAGGACTAGGTGACACCACCCTCTCAGAAAGCATCCGTTTCTTCCATTCACGACAGAGCTTGCATGGCGGAAAGGGTCAGCACCCCAGGTATACAAGCCCAAACTTGCCCTATACAATTGTAATGAAATCTCTTTAAAAAAAAATAACAAGTAGAAATATTGGTATGTCATTAAGGACCTGCAAATGGTTAACTCCTCATTTATTTGGCACTCGAGGAAATGAGGTGATCTGGGTAATTGAAATTCTTGGATAACCAAAGGTTATCCTTCCGTAGGAATCACGTAATAGGAATCATTTTGAAATGTAATTAATATTTTCCTGACTTCCTATAAAAATTATCCTGAACATGCTTTAGCCTTTCTTGATCACTTAGACATTATTGTGAGCATCAGTTATTGTAGAGTGCTGTAATATTATACTATGCTGTAATTGTGTCCCCGGGAGCTATTGAGATAGCTAGGAATGCTTGCCTCTATATTGAATGGCATAGACTCTTGTGATTTTTAAGTTCTGACTTTGCTGTGTCATTTTCTTTGGCCCCCTGTGCTGTCGGGTTTCACATCTCAATTTTCCTAGTGGCTGTGCCTCTAGAAGTGTTTCCCCTTTCTCACCATCTATGATTTGCTAACGGGTGGGAATCAAATGGCCAAGCTTGTTAGGGTCTAATGTCCAAAGTCAGTTGTCTAGCAGCGAGGGGAAGAAGGCTTTGAGCAGCAAACTACGTGGGCTTGGTGACAGCCCTTTAGTTGAGAGGCCTTTTCCATCTCTTGTGGGATTTATGGTCGTCTTCTGGAGTAGTAATCATGCCGGAAGAGAAGTCTCTTGGGCAACAGAATCATGCTAACTCGATTGGAAAGTTCACTTTTGATTCAAACACAGCATCGCTGTTCTTGCTTATTTCTCTTAAAGGTAAATTATGCTGTGATGTTATTTTTATTCCATAGGGTGGCAAGATTAGCCTTAAAGTCACATTGTGACGCATCTTTTTAAAATGTTTTTGTTGAAGTGTAGTTGATTTACAATGTTGTGTTAGTTTCAGGTGTATAGCAAAGTGATTCAGTTATACATACGTGTTTGTGCGTGTGTGTGTGTGTGTATATATATATATATATATATATATGTTCTTGATATAATGAATTCTTGTATTTGCTTGAATTCATTGTCTCCAGTTTTGGAACACTTGCTTTGCCTTTGAAATTCTCTCCTCCATCTGCGAGGAGCTGCGCATGCCCTGTACGTCAAGGCAGAGCTTCTGCCTACAAGTTGTGTCAGGATCCACACAGGTGTCCACGCTCCCAGAGAGCCTGATGTGTGCAAATCCGGATTTCTCAAAACACTGAATGAATTGTGTTGAGGGTGACTTTCCAATAAAATTTAAATCCCTTTAGATAATTCGTTCCACTTGCATAGTTCAAATTGCTTGCTGTACTTCACCAAATTTGTGATGAAGTTTTAAGAACATGTCTCTTGCGAAAATAAGATACGTCTATTGCATATGTGTCACCGTCAAGGTAGAAAATTGGAGTTGTTTCTATAAAATAGAACAACTGAGCAAATCTATTAATTACAGTGTTATTTACACGTCTACAAAAATCACAATCACTTGTTTGTTTGAACTGAGTCCCCTTTACTTCCACAGAGGTGTCATTGCCTAGCTGAGTGACAAATTATACACTTGAATCTCACACATATGGGTCATTTGTTCCCATGTCGCACACATTTCCAGATAGATACCAGTCTTGTGTGTAATTCTGATAAAACGGCAGTTATGGCCGTGTTGTAGCTGGTTTGGCTGGCAAACGTTTATCCTTCAAATAGAGCTGCAGACAGTAGCCTAATTAATGGAATTCTTAACAGTGGTTTCCTATTGGCCAACATTAGTCAAGTTGTATCTTCAGCGGTAACAAATAGACCTTTGGCTTCTCTTGTATCATTTAACTAATGTTTGTATTGTATGTGTTCTTCCTTATAGGAATCCCAGCATCTGACCCCAGGATTCGCCTTACAAAGTAGGTGTTTTGAAAAAATCCTTCTTGATCCAAGCATCTCCTCTCCTCCCTCGCTTTCTTCTCCTTCCTACCTAACATCATGAAAACATGGAATAACAACAATAATAAAAAGTCACATCGTGACGCATCCAATGGGTTTCTTTTTTCTCCCATCTGTTATTCATGGCAGGATTCTGTGAAAGAGTATAACTGGAAGGGCTGCATGTTCAAGACCAATTTCATTCAGAATGATCATTTGACAGTAGGAAACATGGATGGTAAATGTCTGTGCGTTTTCTTTTCAGAGTGGAGCGACCCGACCAGCAGAGCTTCTACAAAGTGAGTACCGTTCAAGTCGTAAGTACTCAGGTTTCTGAAACACGCTTCTTCGGGGGCATTTCGCAAGGAAAAGGTGCTTCAGTGCCGAGCGAAGCTTGTTGTCTCTCCTGCTCCTTGAAAACAGGAACCTTGCCTCATGATAACATGGGGTGTGGTTAGAGGGGAGAATGAGATTTCCCACGATAGGCGAGTAACAGTCAAAATGAACGAATCATCACTAGGCTCTCTAATGGTGTAGAAGATACAGGCTGGGTCGATACCTGGGACACCAAAACAACTGTGATTCTGGAGTAGTTGTTGGAACGTTGTGTAACTTCAGCCGCAGACATCGTTATATGTAATATTCAGCCACCACCGATCAGGATGGAGAAAGGACCCGCCTGAGCAGCCATGCTCGGACGTGAGAGGTGGGGTGGATTGCTCTGGCCGGCCAGCCCGGGACCTTGCTGTTTGCAGGTCATCTGGTGACTGTATTTTAAAGATAAGGGCAGCCAGGAAGAGGTGGAATAAGTGATTACGTGACGCTAGGTTGAAGTTCAGAAGCCAGGGCCCTGTAATTCACTCCTCACTCTCTTCCTTTTTTATTAATGTTCACTGAAGGAGGGGTATGGAGAAACCAATTTCCTCAGATTAACCGTTGTAGATTTTGTAATAGCCATTTGTCCAAGAGAGTATCAAGGGAGTAGTTCTCTCACAACTTCTTTCATTCTTAATAATAGAAAATGGAAGCTGACTTTTCTGTGTAATAGTCACATACTTGAAATTTTTCAAAATGAAATAACTCATGACATTCAAGTGGCCTAATGGCACGCTTGAAGTGAATTGCTCACCTTTTGGTATTTCCACATTCTTGGTTCTGTTTAGTGGCAAAGCCCCCAGAGCCCTGACCCCATCACCAGACCTCTTATTTGGTTTTCTGGCCCGATCTGTGCCTTCTAATTCCGAGAATCCTCCATTTAAAGAATCGAGGGGAAAAAAAGAGACAAGAGGAAAATAAAACTATAACCTTGATTTAAGGACCAAATGATATGGAAACGTGGAAATCAAAATCATCTTTGATATTGTTCATTTCAGCTTTTCCAGGAATCATTTGGAATTGCCCTCCCCCTGTTATCCTAGTAAACAATAGACCTTATGCTCCTTACCTCCACTCCTGACTTACCCCACTCTTATTACAAAGCCAGTAAACTTCACACACACACACACACACACACACACACACACACAGTTGAGCATTCAGGAAATCAGTGCAGGTTTCCAACTATGAAAACACATACAAATATTTTTCCATTGTAAAATGATCCCATTCCTAAAACAAGAGTACATAGACCATAAAATGCAATATTTCAATAGTTTGTAACTAACGGAAATAAACTTGTCGATTGTGGTTTATAGCTAGAGGCTCTGCATTTCATAGCACAGGGTATACAGTGCATTCAGTAGGGCTGAGGTTCTCTATAGGAGGCACCCATAAAACCGGAAGACACTGAGTCTGTTTTATGAGTGAACTGCTCTCTTTTTAGCTGCCTGACCTAAAGGCCAGGCATTGTTCATCAGACTTCGGCTGGAATAAATTCCCTTCTTGGGTAGGGTATAGGTTTAACACAGGGCAGGTCAGAGTTATAATAATTATTTTTACTTTTAGCTTCCAAATTATTATCAGCTTAGCCGTTCCAGTCATTCTCACGTATTTCACTCCGGTGTGCTTTTTAAGTCAGCTTCTAGGATTTTCCGTGTGGCAGGGCAATCCTCTAGGCAACTAAGAGCATCCTGAGTGTAGACAGACTGCTGGTGGCTGGAGCTTGGTGGGAAGCAGCCCCAGGTCAGCCCTGCTGCAGCAGAGACACCCTCCCAACGCTTGTGGATGTCCTGGGCAAGCTCCTAACCCTCACTGCAGTAGAGAGACACGGGAGTCTTGTAGATCAGAGTCCCTTAATTGCTGGGCCACTTTACTTGTTTGCCTCATCTTGGCCTCGTTTCCCTGGATAACAAAATGCAGCTCTTCCATTAGGGCCTGGATTGTTTATAAGGACTGCACGCCCAGGCACCAGGTCTGAAAAACACTGGTGCAGGAGTCCCTGAGTGCAAGCTGGGAAGCGGCCAGCTCTGTGCTCCTGGCTCAGCAGGATCACCGACCTTTGCAGAAGGTCGCAAAGCATATCTCGCTCAGCATATGCTCCATTGACACACAGTGCTTTTTATGGGGTGTCCATCTAAATGGTGACATCCTACCTGCTCCAGCTGACTGCCCAGGAGGCCAGAGCGTGGGACTGTAGGAATTTCAAGATCTGGGCTCGAGCCTCTGCTCCAGGACAGTGATGGTACTGGGGGAAAGCACTGACCTAGGATTCAGAGGGTGTGAGTTTAAATCATGGGGGAATTTATTTTTATTTCAGAGTATAGAGTTAGAGTCGCTTGAGGGAAATGAAGCAAAGTAATGAGCAGATTGTATGTGCATACAGGTATATATGCAAACACTTGTCACAATTCAAATGTAAACAGCTATACTCTTTAGTAATTAAACTCAAGGTCAAAGTGCATTTGACTTTAACCCTTAATAATTTCTGGAGGAAAGAAGACCTGGCACGTGTTGTTTCCCTCAGCCTGCATGAGTCTGAGTTGTATTATAGTCTCGGAACAGGCCTCACCCAGGTCTTCTAAATCCAATGGAGTTTCAAGCCTCCTTCAAAAAAGGTCTCTCTCCCCAAAAAGAGAGTGGGGCATGGGCTGTCGAAGGTCAGATTGTATTTCTCCTGCTGTGCAGTTGTGTATTTGTACAGTAATATCACGTTCGTTCTGCCCCTAAAGCACCCATTTATTTCAATTGGAAGATTCAGGGATTGAATGGACACCCCAGACATTGGGTTACCTTCTAGTTTCTTCATGAAGCCATTAAGGAACAATGGAGGAGAAAACAGAAACTAAATCCAAAGAACTTGGATTTTCCTCATCGGGTCGGATGGCTTCATCTAGCTGGTTATGACATCTTGTCAATTACTTGTCAATACAGTGGCTTTACCACAATACATGAGTCTGTTGGTCTTTTATGAGCCGTCCTGAATAGGGACAGGTCAGATGCTTCCTGAGGAGCATTTCCAGACAGCAACCACGAGCTCAAAGGTTTCTGTCGAGTCAGTTCTTGACTTCAGCTAGTTTTGTGAGGACAGTTGAGAAAGTGGCAGTTCCTTTGTCATCCTCGGCTGTTTGCATTTAGACTCTGTCCGGCTGGAAATCATCCAGACCCCCTTTTAATCAAGTAGCTCCTGTGTTTTAGGGCGTGCTGTTGAAAATTCCGGGATAATTTCCATAAAAGCTCAACATAAAGGCAGATGTGGCCATAGGCTGTTCTTTCCTTGCCATAATACCAGTTCCTCCACTTCCGGTATTAGGTACGGGTCTGAAAACATCACAGCCATGGACCCAGAGAGTTGACAAAAGGCCTGACAAAGGCAGTCTAGTTGTGGCCCGTTTACCTGTGGGTGACAGGTAGGCATGCCACATGGGCAAATGCTTGAATGTAGCACTAGTTAGGAGGAAAGGACATTATACTCTCACAGGAATGGCGGACACCTGTGGCAATAATCATTGTGCTGTTGGGTCGTGCGCAAGGCTAGGTGCCAGGTCCCATGCCAGGTGCTCTTATATACATCACCCCGTTATACTTAGCAGCCACCCTGGAGGGGCTCCAAATTATTCCCATTTTACAGATGAGAAAAGCAAAGCTAGAATATTGTCCCTCCTTATGAAGTATACACAGTCCAGTGGGAGGACAAGTTGACTGTTTATCTCGAATGGACGTGTTGGCTATGAGTACACAGAAGGGCCGAGTCAGTTACACTGCTCTTCATGGGGAAGCTTGAATGCACAAAGCCCTCTCTTTTCCCACCGGGCTGTCCCTTCTCACGGTATCTGATGGGGTCGGGGCACAACCTTCAAATAGACTTGAAGAACTGAAGTTGATGGGAAGCAGTCCCACAAGAAATTATACCTCTCTGTTTTAGATGATTCAAAACCTGGTCAAAATTGCTTGATTTAACTGAAAGATCATTATCTCTGAACTTGTATTGATGTGGTATGAAGATTTCATTACCACAGGGAATAGAAAGAGTATAAGAATGCTTTCTGGTTTGCTATGACCAGTAACAAGCGTTACACCATTTCTTAGGTGAATTTTGAAACAAATTTTTTTACCAGAAAACCCCAAGAAACGAAAAACACATTCATGAAAATCCTGACCATCTTTCTACCAAAATTTTCATCATTGAAAACGTTTGCTTTGAGAATCTGATTTGAGAAGGAACTCCCACCTCCAGCAATTTCACATACTCTTTCCTAAGTAGATGTCTGGTCCGCTACACACTTTCCGTAGCAAAGTAACTGCGTAACGAGGCAGGGGGAAAAAATGACTGTTATTTTCGTAATCAGATTAATTCTTAATCAGAATACATGATTTGATACTTGGAACTTAGAAATACTACTAATCAGTTTGAGGCTTACAAAAGCCAAACTACACTCTTCCAATAAACTGGGAATCTTGGTCACTGGTTGCAGCCGTTCCGGCTTTCAAACTGAGACGTATGCCAACTCTTGCTTTTAACCTGTCTTGTATGCCCTGCCCTGCGTCGTAGAGCTTGCCAACTTTTCCTAAGGACTTAATATATTTTTGGAAGTTCTCCACTGCATCAGGGACAGCCACCTGGGAGCAGAGAAAACAAAATTTGGCAGCCTGTTCAAGCTGTGAATTAAAGGTAATTCACAGTTTGAAATGAATCAGCATGAGGTCCTTAAGAAGAGTAATCAGATATCAAGAGGATTTTATTCTGAGGACTGTATATTGGCTAATGTGACAACAAGCAGTATTGGCATTTGGAATGTTCGTGTCAAGAAGCACTGAAGCTGCTGGTGCTTGACGGGCACCAAGACTGAAAACTGGGCCTCCTTTGACGGGAGCTTTGGATTTCCACTTTCATTACAAAAGCTGCAAACATAGCATTTGTGCTCAGGGAGCATAAATCTTG